TCGTATTGGGCGACGATGACGTGGCAAAGTGCCTCTTTTAGTATAGTTAGGATAAAGTATAAACTGTTGATAGATTTTGTACTTTAAAAAATTCCTAGCCCACCTAGTTGGAAGGCGATTAGCTTGTCTTCTGATCAACAATTCAACGAGACTTCTTACATATTTAACTCTGTACTATGACGTAGAAATGAACTTGAAAGAGTTTCGGATCTGATATGACTTGTATCTTCTTATCTATAAGTTGCTAATTTTGATCTCTTCTTCACAAAAATTGGAAGTGTGACATGGTTAAAGTATTTATTAAGGGCGGAATCCATGGACAAAAAGAGTGGGTTCCAAATCCAACCCGGTGTGAACTTTGGCAATTTTTTTCCTTAATTTATAAATTGACCTTAAAAATATATATTCAACACCTCAAAAGCCTAAATTCAGTCTAGTAAAAATGTTTAACCCACCTTTAACTATAGTGATCGGCCGCTGTCTACTTACAAGATAATGTACGCAAGCATGTGATTATCGAGCTAGAATCACTTAGCAGTGTTGTAGACGATAGATTTTACAATTGAAAATATTAGAATGATTGAGCCACCTAAAATTATGTGAAACTCAAGAACATAGAATAAAAGGAAGAACCGTTAAATTTTTTTTAAGGGAATGGCAATGTGGTGCTACTCGAAGACTATTCGATAGCCAAGATAGCGATGCTTATCAAAAGAATGTAAGAGTGTAGATGAAAAGTAAATTTAGTGATTGTGATTGGGTGTACTTTGAGCTTTGAAGATGACAATATTTATAGGAACAAGATTGCTATCGTTCAGACGAGATTAGCGATGATCCTTCAAAGTTTTTGATTGGTTGGAGATACGATTTTCCTTGACATGAGCAATCGAGATGATTCGACCATTCATAGACAAAATATACATGTGCCTTATCCTTAGTCAAGTCTAATGTAATTGATTTGAATATCAATGGTTCCGAGTTAACTCATAGTTCATTGACCGTTGTCCAAGTCATTTGATACTTTGAGTTGGGACCAAAGTCGCGTCTCGTCAAATGGCGTAGGCATAGTCTTGATGAGGAAGAGGGTTTAAATGAGAAGATGTAATGCGATTTTAATTTTAGTCATATTATCGGGTTTAAATTGTATTGCAAACCCACCCTATCAGTTTTTTAACAATAATTTTTTATGACTTTTTGTGTAATAAATAACATATTTTGGTGGCACGTCGTTGCTTAACATCACCACGGATAAAGTTGCTTTATTAGAAGGATTTAATAGAAAGTTTGACATAATTACATGTAACAATGAATGATTGAATGGAAAAATTGACTATTCATTAAACTGTCCAATGATAGAATGTTGGATAATAGCTCTTTTTTTTGACTTATTTACTGGAATATAAACGAATGGATTCACACAGAAGCTGTCGTGACATTATGTCAACTTTGACATTCGTGTAACATGATTGCAACATCACATTCTCATAGTGCTCAACATAATTTTTTTTAAAACCAAATAACTATAATGTTATATTTAGAAATTTGAATGAATTACTTAAAAACTTCAGTGACCATGTAATTGTAATCCGTTTATGTCCAAATACCAGTATACTCCAATTTACGATTTAGAAAACTGTCACCAAACACCACCAAATCTTCCCCAAAAGGCCAAAACCCTAATTTTGCGTAGCAACTTCTTTCGCCTCTGCCTTTAAACCCCGCTCTCCCCCAATTTTTAGTCTTCTCAAAACCTATTATTCGCGCCTCCGCATTTGCTCTCAACCGTCTGTCGCCATGGTAACCTTCCCTCCCTCGCTTTCCTTCCAATTGAACTCTTAATTCTTCACGACCTAACTTTATACTTATCTTTTCTGTATTTTGTTGAAAATAAATACGTTTTTATTTGATGTATATG